AAAGATTTTGACTCATTAGATCAATATTTAAAATGATGATTCTGGAGCTGCTCTGAAGCCACAGCAGAAGCAGAAACCTCTGTCTTACTGACTGGATTGGTAATCAATTGCTATGTATACATTTTTGTTATGACACTGGATAGAAATCTGAGTGATCTCTCACACTCTGGTTTGTCATAACAGTGTACAATAATTAGAAAAATTGTTGGCTTTCAAATGAACATGCATCTGCTTTCTCCCCAAAAAATAAAGGGAGAAACGCTGAGGGACAACTGAGCACACACAAGGCACAAACAGTCAAAGAGGAGCCATGATGTGCTCCAAATGATGGTGAGGAAAGAATGAGAGAAAACGAATCAATCTGTAACCCTGGTGACAATTGCTTTATGTACAAATGGATGTAAAATAGCCATCTATCCACAGCTTGGTTGGGCTTTTTATGAGAGAAATGTCATGTTGCATTTTTTGAAAAACCTCTTTGCCTCACAGCAGGTCTTCTGCACAATAAAAAAACTGCGAATGAGAGATGGGGCAAAAAATAGAGAGGGAGCCATTATCATAACAAGATAAAAGCCTAACGTTCACAGCGAAACTTGTTGTGAAAAGAGGGATAATGAGGGTATGAGTAATTTGGACCACAATTTTCGATTTTCAAAAAACTCCATCCAACTCATCCGCAGTATCACACCTGTTTGTAAAATAAAAAGTTAAGATCATCACACAAACAAAATGCTCAGAGCTAAACCTCAAAGCCTTCGCAAAGCAACATGGGAAAGAGACGTCTCCTTCAAGGCTAAAGAGAGAAACCTGTCCGAGCACAGGAGTGGTGTCACGGGGGGGGCCTTACTTATCTCCTCCCAGATTAAGTCCCAATTGTTCAGCAGGAACAAAGACAGCCAGTGAGGAAACCAGCCCCCCAAGGGCCAGATGGTCAGCGTTCAGAGCCCCCTGACCCCTCCAGCCCTTGCCCTCTCTGACAGGGCCGCGCGTGTTCTAGTCAAGACAGGCCACCCAGCAAATTCACAATGCACACTGCTCTTACAGTGTGTGTGTGTGTGCTCATGTGACACTGCACCACCTGTGTGACTTTAACGGATGTTTTTCTACAGTAGAATGCTTACTTTTTATATGATGTATAGTACAGAAAACAAGCATGATTGTCACATATGATGACAAATCTATCAGCAGCAAGAATCAGGATTTTACAATTTCTAGTCATGTAGCTGAAAATGTAAATTATAGTTGGCTGGTCGAGAAGTTGCTGGATTAAAATGAGGCTTTAAGATGAAACGTAGCTGTTCAGCATTTGAGACTGAAGTGCAGCATGACCTGAAATGAAGTTGCCATATTATAATGGCCTCTCTCCGCACCTGGTAAAATGAACATCCCTCCTCCGCTATAGGATCTTGAAATGTGCAAGTAACTGTCCTTAGCTCTAATTACATTTTTTGGAGGTACAGAAGGGGGGTAGTGGAGACGTAAGCAATGCAACCTCTGGGACATCAAACATGAGAGGAATGGAAAGACCAGCTGGAGTCAAGACGGACTGGTTTGTCTGTAATTACAATGACAAACCACTACAGACATCATGTTTATCTGATATGACTTTATCTAAGCTGCTGAAGCCTGTTTCAACACCAAGCCTTAGGCAACTGTAACAGTACACAAACATGACAAACATGTGAACTATGGTAGCCCAGTTCCACATATACTTGGCATGACTTTGTTAATGATTAATCAGCAGAGGAGACTGATGCCCAAATATCTGAATACCTATAAGATAAACTAATTGACTGCTCATTTGAAATGAAGTATTTCTAAGTTCTAAAGTTCTATAGACACTCAGATGACACTGCAAAATACGTTAATTACAGACTAATAAGGCTATTATATGTAGGTCTGTTACAGGCATATGTGCAGCCGACCATCAATGACAGCCACAACATCAAGTATTATTCATTTGTGCAAATGTAAAGGAGCAAATAAAATAAGAAAAAATGGTTCAAAAATGTTGATTTAGTAGCTATTCTCGAGCATTCATAAGGCTAACTGTCAGACTTTGCGTGTCAATGAATTACCTATCTGCCCCACGTCATTCTTAAATTTCCCCTTTCCAAAAAAAAAAAAAAAAAGAACCCAGCCTGCACTGTGCCATCACTTCTTGAAATTTCCGAGGAAATTCACCGTTGAAACAAACTTTTTGAGACAAAGCTAATGTTTCAGCCTCGTCCACGGAGCTACAGGCTGCGGAGTGACAACCATCACCCGGAGAGCGTTAACGACCGGCTGCTGTTTAGACTGACTCTCGTTCTTTCGTATGACGTGATACTGAACAGGTGTTTGAACGTGAAGGGATAGAAACGTACTATACGTGCATACATGCTTACCTTTATCAACACGGAAACGCGTTATACGGCCATGTCCACGTAGAGTCCCCAGCACCGCTCACTGCTGCTGCTGTTGCTGGTTGTCCGGACGCTCCGCTCCACTCCGCTACAGCTGATCTGATCTGATCTGCGCACGGTGAAGGAGCCGCCAAGTGACGTCAGGAAATTTCTGTACGTACCTTTTGGTTGAGTTCAGCTTGTTGCTGTGATGGGAGGAGGAAACACATTAGCTAACTCTAATTAGTCAGGTGGTATTTTCCTCGTTATACCTTTAAATTTTGATTTTAAAAACTTAACAAAATTCTGTGGAGAGATAGAAAATATGGTAGATTCGTAGATATGAGAGCACAAATAAATTAATTAGAAAAGGAATTAACAATCAAATAGTGAACAAAACAGTTAAGAATGAATAAATATGCAAACATAGTAAAAATAATATGAAATAATAAAATAATAGAATGCCAAACAATGCAATGCCTACATAGGCCTATATCTGCATGCATGCAAACCTGCATAAATACATACATTAAACTGCATGTTACAAAGTTATCATTAGCCTGCCTATAGGCTACAGCGCCTGTGTTAAGCTTCTTTGCACAACTCATCAAGTATGTATTTCTCCCAACTATGGGTTTTCAAGTTATAACATATTCATCTGTTTGCAGCAATACAAAGTTGATGCACAGTTTATTCAAGTCTTTGAACGTATGTTCAGAGACTTGAATAAACTGTGCTAAGGTTCTCACCATAGGTGGTATAGCAGCGCCCTCTGTTGGGTGACATGATGAACAAACAGACAAAACAGAGGATTCCTGCTGGAAAGGTTATGGGGGGGTGGTGTTCTTTTTTTCTTTTTTTATTTTAAAGTATAACTGACATTACTTAAACTCACATGCTTGAAAGTCCTTGCGCTTCTTCATGTTATATGATTACATTAAACACTACTGATATTATGTATAAGAGAGAGTGGCAGGCATTTCTAAAATGTGAAAAAAAAAATAGGAACTTCATCTTTTGGAAATCACAGTTAAAAAATTCATGCATGAGTCCAGCTGCCATTCTCCAGGGAGCAACTGACAGCAGGTCCTAAGCATTTCCTGTTCGTCATTTGTTCATTCGCAGAACTGCAAGTCCAATCACAAGAGAAAAATAAAAGGGGTAAAAGTTGAGATGAGCTTTTAACTCTTGAAGCCAATCTCATCTTGTATAAGCCCCAAAGAAAGAAAAGAAAACGTCAAAGTGCTTGTAATCATTAAGGTATAAATCTCTGTGACATTAAGATAAACTTTAAAATGCAGTATGGTAGAGAAGATGATGAGCTTATGGTGACTGAACCTTACTAAATATCTATTTCTACAGGGGTTCAAATGAGTTAGAGTGACCTCATTGGAGCTGGTATTCCTGCACCTCAAACATGTCATCACTAACAATCCTAATATTCATATGATAGATGATATTATGGAATGAGGGTAGCAAGACTTTTGCAACCATACAGAATAGCATAGAATAGATGAGGCAATCATAATAAACAATCATCACAAACACAAACACAAACACGTGAACCATAATAATTACAAATATTATTCAAAGTATCAGTAAGTAGAACATTAAATTCCCACAGAGGAATGACTGTCTCTAGCTTCAGTTTATTTTGCGGTAGTAAGGTGTAATGGAAACCAGTCTTCTTCAGTTCAGAGTTGGGTGAGGAATTTTTAAAGCAAACTGATCCTGTGATCTGGTGTCATGATCGTTCACTTGGAACTCAACCAAGGATGTTAAATATCTGTGCAATTGAGATGTCAAAGCCTTAAATGAAAACACAGGCATGCTGATGACCATCTGACCTTTTCATGCAGCTCACAGAGGTGAAAGTGACAGCTGTATTGGGTAATGAATGGAACAGCAGTGTAAACTTGAGTAAAAGAATAGAATAGATTAGAATAGAATAGGCTAATAATGGTTAATCACCAAGACCATCAGTAATCCATAGAAGAGAATACAATTAAACAGAATTAGCCATTTGATTATAATCCAGAAATAAGAGCATCTATAACCCATATTGAACTATCGAATAGAATAGAATAGAATAGAATAGAATAGAATAGAATAGAATAGAATAGAATAGAATAGAATAGACTAATTATGGTCCAGAACAAAGTGCATCTATAACCCATACTGGACTGTTATAATAGAATAGAATAGAATAGATAGAATAGAATAATTATGGTCCAGAACAAAATGCATCTATAACCCATATTAAACTGTTAGAATAGAATAGAATAGAATAGAATAGAATAGAATAGAATAATTATGGTCCAGAACAGAGTGTATCTATAACCCATTTGGAATAATTACTGAATAGAATATTCAATGGAAATATTTTTGTAAATCTTAAAAATAAATGTTGATGACACTTTAAAAACTCTCGTACCTTTGATGGCATCTTTTTGGTGAGCTCATAACGTTTCCATTGTAACATCGGGAGCAGCAACATGTTGCGTTCAACAGTGTGAACTCTTTGAATGCGCCTCGACAAAGCGCATGCGCAGTACTTGACATTTTGAAGTTGCTTCTCCGGGGTGTTTGAACAGGAAGGCGGACATGTTGGTCAGGCTGTGGGAGAAAATCAGGCTCCGTCTGCTGTTTTTTTTTCCGAAAACTAACACACATCTAAACCCGATTTTTTAAGTCTTCGATCTGAGGGATGAAGAAGTTTGGATGGGAAACAGTCGACAGCCAGTGACAATGCACGGGATGCAGCGGAGGGACTGCAGTTAAACGCTGTAACGAGTCCGTGTTAAAACTGGTCGAAATTTGAAAGAAGCAGAAGTTTTTTCCCCCACCACTTCTACTTTTGAGCTGTCAGATTCGTTTGTCGTTTTCTGCAGGGGCCTGGCACAGAAATGGGAACCGGCCTGGACTAACCATCCCACAAACTGTGCTTTTCTGAGAGACATTACATTTAAGTTTTAACAGCCTTTTGTTTGGATGCACCAACATTTTAAGCCCTTATCCTCAGTGGCATCCTGCGGAGGCTGACTAATCTGTCGCCGCATTTATCGTTTGCCTCTGAAGTTGTTTGTCACTCATACTGGGAAAACATCTTTCGACTCTGAACATGTGGCTAATGTATATTCGGTGCAACCTTAAACGTTTCATCGTCTGTGAAAGCTCGAGGAGAACGATGTATTTTCTGTGAAGTGCGCTGTAAAGTTCTCACGAAGAAAGGAACATTTGGCTAGCTAGCTACCGCTGGCTGCTAAAGCTAGCTAGCCAGCCCTCTGCCTCGCCAGTGAGCTGTTTTTGTTCATAACCCAACATCGGGACTGAGTTCAACAGCAAAAATGTCTGCTGGGCAAAGCATGGAGGCTCGATTTGAAAAAATCGATGCCATGTTGAAGGACCCAAAGTCAGAAGTAAATACGGATTGTCTTCTGGTAAGTTTGTAGCTTGCTAGCTGGCTAGGTAGCTAGCGAGTCAGCCATTCTGGTTCAGTCTACTCCTTGGAGCAGAAATTCTTTCCGAGACCAACAAGTCGTCTCAATTCTCACTGAAGAAATGTGTTGATGTTGACTCCGACAGGCCAATTTGGCTCACACACTTAACTCCAAACACCTGTGTACGTGTGAGTTCGTATATAGAGTAAGTTTAAGCGAAAATAACAACCAGCAGTTTGAAACCTCCGTTATCCTTCAGTCAGACACTGTATAAACTCGCAGACAAAAACAACGAAACTGTAATTGCTAGCATTAGGATTGTTATTTAACGGCGGTGTGCTGTCAGCTCTCATAACCTGGCATCAGTATAGGAGAGTAACTTATTGAAAAGCAGTGGTAACTAAATAAGACTGACAGATGGCGACCGTCTTTCCGTCCTTCACAAAGACAGACACACTTTGTCAGATTATTTTTTGGAGCAGTTCAGGTAAAACAATTCGTGTTATTAAGTCTGATCAACTGCATTGGTTTCCTTGCCACCCACCACAAACTGATAATAGTTTGTGTCGTAACTGGTGTGCTTTTTAGATCATTAGGAAGTGGTTGTTTAGGTGTGTTGTTTTGTCTAGGTTTACTTATTGAAGGCTCATTTCTAGTGATAGGGTGCCTGCAAGCCTGTTGTAACCTGTAGGCCCCCAGCTGCATCAGTACACCTGTTGGTTGGAGTTTGCCCTGGCTGCTTCCTGTCTATGGGAGAGGACTCATGAAGTGACTCTTCTGTCTTGAGAAAAGAAGGCGTCTCCTGCCACGTGCTAAACCTTAAAGCAACACCTTCATAGCATTTTATTACATGCAGCAATCCCAGGAACTGACTCAACGTGGAGTGGATGCCAAAGGGATGATGTTGTGTCAAGTGTTTGTTGATATCAGGAGCCTCTCAGCTTGGGTGATGGTGGCACTGAGTGTTTTCACAAGGATCTGGCTCTTAGTGACTCATGGGAAAAGTTTCATTCAGATGTATAGTGTAATTCAACCAAAGTTCACATGGATTATAGGACGGAATATTTTGGCCTGAATGCCCAGGGACGGACATTGGCATTTACGTTTTTGTGTTTGCAGTAGGCCTAAGTTTTCGCCTAGAGTCCAAATAGTTCTGGATCTCTGTGTACAGTAGTTTCTTTGTAACTGTGTCAGGTGTTGTACACATAAGGTCATACTCCTTGTTTAATAATTCCTGTACCTTGCTTGTATGACATGGGATATGTTAGCAGGCAGATGGACTAACTAAGCAAAGGAACATTCGGGAAGCAATCTGTTTTGGGAAGGGGGCTTGTCCTAAAACTCCACCCACACCTAACCTAACCCTAACCCAACTTGGAGTGTTTGTGTATAGGCTGCTGTAGATAGCTGTCTTTTCAGAAGAAAACTTGCTTAGTCTCCATGACCTCCCATCCTGTTGCAGAAAGAGGCAATTAAACTCACCTAAAAGTGCACACGTTCTGCATTTTTAATGGCAAAAAGCTGTGGGGACTGTTCCTGCTGGCAGCCACACACACAAGGGTGTTGTTTCTCCTTTTCCCCCTCTCTGCAATCTCCCCTGATCAATGAATGGAGGCCTTTTGCTGAGGCTCTCTCTGCCACCATGCAACTCCACCCACAGCTTAATAAAATTCCATGCTAATCAAATAACCTCTTGTCTTTGACTGGCCTGGAGTTCCCTGTGTGTCCCAAAGCCATTCTGCACGTCTGGAGAGAGTTGAGACCAGGCAGGCAGCCCTGAGGTAGCTGGGTGTGGGCTCTGCTCTCTACCCATAAACCAAAATTATGTGGACTGAAGACTCATGTTTCTGAAGGCCGTGAATCAGGACATTTAACTCATAAAGCAGCCAGCATGCTTGGGTATGAGTAATAGGTTCCATCAGAATGCACAATGCAGGCCTTTTACTGGCCATGTTTCTGTACCTGGGTCTTGAACTGGAATTGCTTTCTGTCTGAAGTATAGCACTGTTGGGTTTCCACTTTTTTTCCCCATAGAACCCTGAGCTGTGTTGTGTGATGGTGACACTTGGACTGCACCTTACCACTCAGCTCTCGGCTGGCCTATCGAGCGCTGTATTCCAACCCCGTCGCCCTTATCTTCACCCAGTAAATAAATCCTGCTTGGAGAGAAGAGCACCTTATCTGGATGGGCTGCCCCCTCGCCAGTCATTGTGCTCTAGGCAGGCTTCTGAGAGCCAATCTGAACAGACAGAATTCCTGACATTGTGATGTGAGAGCTCACTGACAGTAAGGGACTGAGCATTGCCCATATATGCTTTACCGCTGGCAACCATCAATAGCTTCGATCAAATGATTTTATTAGTTTATGTGTCTGGATTGAACATCCTCACCTCTGAACGTTAGCATGGAGGAAGTGGTGTGTTTGTCAGTCTGTGAAAACATTGAATTTCCTAGTTGCTTTTGCGTTTGATCCTAAAGTGCCAAGGTCTGTTCATCATTTGGTAAATTAGAATGGTTGAGTTGATATGTTAGAACTTGTTTTGCATGGGCTTTGCCTCTATATGAGATATATAAAGGCTTCCTGGCACAGTCTTTGTTCTTACTTTTACACTTGGGGTGCATTAGCTTCCCTGTGTTTTGATCCCTCTTTCATCTACTATTTGGACTCTAAATCTGTAATAAGGGTAATTACAGGAAACTGCAAGGCCAGTAAACCAGATTTGTAGGCAGCGATTGCTGCATGTACATGTTAGGTTTGGGGCTCTTATTTTGAAGTGATTTATAATATGAGTTGAATAAGCTAAATCAACAACATTGTTAATGCTGGAGTTTGTGTAGTAGGCTGCTTTGATGAAAAAAGGCAAAATTAGCTTTGATGAGTCCATGCATGGTTTAACATTTTGCGCTATTACAGTGTTACAGTTATAAGCTAATTTACAGAGGAAAAAACACAAGTGTGTTATTAAATGAATTTGATGAATGAATATGTTTTGCAGGTTAACACTCACCAGTAACTATCGCTCAAATTAGATTTCATCCCACAACAGTATCTGTGTTGATTGACTGAAAGAAGTGCTTATTATTATTTATGTGAATGTAACTGATTAATGGTGCCATGTGGCAAAGAAGCTGTAGAGTAAAAACTTGCTCGTGAGAAATGTTTTACTTGGTATTATTTATGTCTTTGTTTTTTTTTCACCTCTAATTATGGTTGCATTGCCACAGTTGGACTATGGCATGGTTTCCATTTCAAGCAAAATTCAGCCCAGTTCTCAGAGTTTAGGTATTCAAAGGAAACGATCATATAGCAAAACCAGGGTCTGCAAATGCGGCTGACAGGCAGAGAGGCAGTTTTGAGTCAGAACTGCTTTGGAACTGAGCCTTGAGACAGATTTGAAGGACCATTTTACTGACATACTTCCTAATTGCCTTGCACAGTCAGTCTGCTGAGGCCCAATTTGAGTAACAGCCAGAGCACAGTCAATCCTTGTCTTGTCAATCCTTGAGTCCCTGCCCTTTTCTCAGTGACCTTTGCCTTTAATGGACAAACCCTACCTGCAAAGTGTTGTCTGCACTGATAATGCAGCTAAAGTCTGTATTGGTTGTAGACATAGAGACGGACTCTCAACACTACATCATATTTTTATTTTTACAGGGTTAACCCAGTAGTTCTTCCTTGACACTATATATAACACAACACATACACATATATACAACACAAGGATTTTGTAAAATCACATCATTCAACATCATTTTCTATGACTTGTTAATTTAGAGTGCTGCATGAGATAATAAATTATCATTATTTAAACAACCATATTTGTTGTTTTCTATGTTTAGCTTGTTATGTTGTGTACTGTGTACAACTTGCTCATACACTACATCATTTGTGACCAGTTAATAAAGCATAGAATAAGATTTTGAGTTGATTTACCTTCCAGGCAGCCATTTTTTCAGGTTATGCCAGTACAGTCCAGTCACCTGCTTCTACTTTGCTTTGTCTTTGTTCTTCATGGTCATTCAAAACGAAGAGTGTGCAGCATGATGACCTTTTTAAAGTGAAATTCAGATATAGCATATATAGCATTTACATAGCATGTATTAGGAGAACATTTTATGATAATAGGGGCAAATATGTAATAATGTAATGCAGTTACCAGGAGACACTTACTTTGAAACTTACCTGAATCTTGGATGTGGCAGCATCCTTGAATGCACCACCATTTTTATTTGCAAATGGCCCTTGCTTACAGCTATGTTATTCCCTGCAAGGGTAATGTAACTGACAAAAAGTAAAAGTAACTACATTTTCATGGTGGTGGAGCACCTGCTTCATATGTGTTTCATGTCTCTGCAAGTTGATTTTCATGGCGTGCTGCCTGGAAGCAACAACAACACGCTAATAACTTTTTGTATGCTTTGGAAAATTGACAGGAGTTACGCAAGCTCTATGTAATTTGTAATTAATTGGCTAAAATATGGAAACTCACTAGCTTGGTCTTTTTAATGATGAATTACATATCCTTGAGGCGAAAAGCATGTATTTGTAGTAACTGTTATAGTCAGCATTTAATCCATCCCTATTGTCATAAAGGTTCGGGGCTGCCAGTCGTAAACTGCTCTCCTCAGCTATTCATCTATGGGAACAACAATTGGCTGAGCTGTTTGTAGCACTGCATTCCCTCAACTGACTGATTATGTGCAGGGATGCATACTAAAATGATCCAGTCTTTTAATAACGGAACGCTTTTTTTCCTTTGATTCACCCACTGAACTTTACAGCCTTTGCTTTTCTTTCATCTCGTTTCTTGAGGGCTACAAGGCCAGTTGGTTTGTCCCACTTACAAAGGACTCTGTGACCCCTGTCCAGTGAAGATGGTCGAAGTGAGCTGAGTCGAGTGTTTAATAAGATGCTTATTTGTCGGGCTGAGGTCATAAATCTTGGGCAGTGGAGGCAAGATAGCAGAGTTTTGCTTGAGAAGCCAGAGCTCAGTCAGTGGAAACACGTGAGTGCTCGCCACTGTTGGAATAACTCAATTATATTTTGACATGAAAGCATTTGTGACAGTGATTCTCGCTCACTGGGACTTCATAAGGAAATGGAATGCCCCTGTTTTGCCACCCCTGGGTTCACTGTCACTGCCGTTTATCCAGTGGAGTTGTTAGTTAGGCAGTCTTTCTAGGTAAGTGGGATTTCCTGTCAGTAGATATTATGTGCAGCAGGAGTGTGCAAAAGGAGTCAAGGTTTATTTATAAAAAAAAAAAAAAAAAGCTTGAATCTCTCACTGCTGGGTTCCAAAGTGTACAATATTAATAAACGCCAGAGCAGATGGATATGTATTCCCCTAGGTTTACATTTCTACCTCAAGGCCTGTACCTGGAAGTTAGTAGTGAGGAAGCGTTGCGGTATTTCATGCTCTGAATGGCTTCATTGGTTTGTATGATCACATTTGTGTTTACATGGGTGCAGCCTTCGATGGAACTGCCTTTATTTGCATGTCGAGCTGAATGGCTGTGTGCACATTTGCTCACATGTGGAAAGCATATTGTCTTGAAGAGGTGGCAGAAAAGGAAGTGAGAAGTAGGGCTTGACTTAGGCCAGTCCACATGCCTTGTGCTGGCATGCAGAAAGGGATGATGTGGCTGAGTCTCCCATGGAAATTTTAACTCAGACTTTTAATGTCTGGAAAAGAGCTTGTGTGTTTTTTGTGTGTGGATTTCTCTCCCCTAAAGTTTAAAGAAATAATTGCCATATGTAATGTCAACCACTGGCTTTGTGTGTTTTGTATAACTATACATTTTTTTTTTATCATGATTACCACATTTCATTAATAGGGTGATGAGATGGTTTTTCATATTATTATTTAGTAATCCCAGGGATGTGTCGCCCTCTGCCTGAAGCAGCATCAGCAGAAATAGGATAACATGGAGCCCTGCAAGCTCTGGTTTGTTTTCCCAGCCATTTTTTTTCCCAAGACTGCCACATAATGAAACATAGCCTGTGGACTGCTACCGCCCAGTGCTTGTTGCAATGAGTGAATCATATGCACAGTTTTACTCTGTCTCTAGTAGGACATTGTTAGATAATTGTGTGTGTTCCATTTTTAACAGCACATATTCTCACTGGCTCTTTAAATTTGATTAAGATTGTCATAAGATTGTTGATTCAAGGCTGTCCCTACAGTGTATGAGCATATCTCACTGCCTGAGGAACTACAGCCACATGCATTTAGAGTTTAAATGCTTTGTGTGTTACTTTTTATCTGCACCACTACAGCATTTTTTTCCCCTATTTTGTGTTGCACATTTTAATCATTGATGGCTTTTTGTTTTCTTCTCTTTGCGTGGAAACTCCTGAGCCACTGGAAATTTCAGAGCTGCAGTAGAAGTGCTTATCTAGGAACAGTTTCACCTCTGGAAACTACTCTGAATTACTAGCTTAGAAAGAGCTTTGTCACTGATCTCGGACCATTATTCTCATATTTGTTAGCGTAGCCTGGGGCAGATTTTTTTTGGGCTGAGCCATGTTGGTGCAACTGGCTGCTCCATCTGAGTGGTTTGATAGCTAAACCCAAACAGAGGCAGATGATGTTTGGTCGCTAACCTATAACTTTGATGATCACAAATCAGACACCAGAGTTAACTTATGTTTCTTATTTATGCATTGAACCTTTTTCAAAGTAGCATAGCCACGTGCACACTTCGCTGAGCCAGAGTGTAAACAAAGGTTTTTATGAATAAAGCAGGTCTACTTTATTAATACAAAATATAGGATTCCTTGTGGCTGTACACATACATATGCAGCCATATTCTTGCTATGTGAATATGCAGTAGACATATAATTATCTATTTTTGATCTATTATCTTATCTTAACAGCCCCAGCACCGTGGCGGAGATCTCTCATCTGTGTGTGTGTGTGTGTGTGTGTGTGTGTGTGTGTGTGTGTGTGTGTGTGTGTAGTGATTTTTAAACAAAATGTAGATGTAAAAACAAACATAGAGGACTCTTGATATTGCAGATAAATGTACTGGTAAACCAATGTGTGAGGCATTCAGGTAAACCTCTGTATGGTTGTCCGATTTGACGACACTTAGTTCGTAATGATATAAATTTACTGATATAATTTTCTCGTGTGTATGTGGATTTGTATGATTTTTTTTTTTCTATCAGCGCCAGGTATTAAATATGCAAATTAGGTGAAACTGATACTTTTTTTAATTCATTTTTTTTTTTATCCATCAATGGTTTCTCAATTGATTTTCCAAAAAAATGATCATATCACAAAAATGACATATATCATCATAAAGGATTTTATATATATATCATTCACTCCTAACACCTCCGTGTCTCTGAATGCAATTGCCCCTAATATCTTGACACGGCCCCTCTTTCCACTAGGAAAACTGGTAGACGCCACAGCAGATATATAAACTTGGAGCAATTGCTGCTCACACAATTGCTAATTTAATCTTTATTCCTTATTCCAATTTATTCCTTCAATCAGTTGTGTTCTATTTACTAGTTGAATTTGCAGTTTTATTTTATGCACCGCTGATTTTTTTTTGATTACTATACCTGATTCTTTTGTCACTGGTGTTTCAGTAGAGGACTTTGAGCATGGCTGTCTTCCGATTTTCTTTGTTTTTTCCTTCATTTGTTCTCCTATTGGACTAGCCAGCCCCACATGCACCAGCCCTCCACTCCCTGCTCCTTTCCGTCATAGTGTTAAGCCCTAGTACTGATTGAAAATAAGGCTCACTATGTGACTCTGTACTTGGGATGGATTTTTTTTCCTCTCCCTTCCTTGACTTTTTGTTGAGAACTTGTTTGGCCACATACCTAAAATAGCTCTCTGACGTGTACAGTCCTGTTAAGGAATGTTACTGTGGCTGTCCAGAGTTCTCTGCGGCAGGAAGTTATGCAAACGTGCATTGCTGAGCACAGAGCCTTGTGATTAGGGTCCTGAAGGACTCAGTTCTTCAGCGTTTTTTTTTCCATTGCAGGCTGGCTGGAGTCTGTGTGGCCAACAAGGCCCCTTTTTTCTCTCAGCCTTAGGTCTGTCTTGTGTAAATGCTCCCTCCTGAAAGTTGATGAGCAAATGATGACTGTAGGCTCTGCCATGTGCGCTGATCACAGCCTATCCTCTCCTTAATTTCCCACATTCTGTCTCTGTGAATGCCTACGTTGCTTTTGTTCTTCCCACCAGCCATTCTTCACCTCCCATTTTTACTTTCTCCCCTCCCACCTGCTTTTTTCCCTGCTTCCACCCATCCCGCAGGGCGTCTGCTGCTTTTATGTCTCATAGAGGGGTGGGGTGGGGTGGGGAGTGTGGGGGGCATTGCCCTGACCTCTTCTGCTGAGCAGAAGCAACAGAGTTACTTAAGAGGATTCCTTGCCTTGTCTGAGCTGCTGATTCACCATGTGTCATCATTGTTTTGCTCAGAGATGCAAAAAGAGATCTGTCATCATCTAATAGAAGACCACTCACAATGTGGGAATGATAAGATTCTTGCTATGATAGTGAGTGCAGAGATGATGTAGCCTATATCAAAAGGTAACATTAACATGTAACAGTAACATTTGTGGGCAACTAGTGTTTGCCCCTGGTATTTGAATAAATAAAATGCAGACTAGCTGACCTCTGACTGTGTCAGAAAATGCTAATTTATAACATCTGGCTCACCCCTGCTAGAGGGAATGCACAACAGTATTTTGAGTTCAAGTGTTTGTGTGCCCATCTTGTTTCAGCCATTCTGGATTATAGACGATTAGATTAAATCCCGCCAGTGGCACTTATGCTCCTGCTGAGCCTGAGGCAAGATTGCCTATACTGTATGTTTGTTTACAGCTCTTGAAATTCCAATCTTGTAGCTGTCGCGTCATAATTTGAAATGGGTATTTATGCACGGTCCTTTTCAAGTCTATTTAATGACAGCATCATTTTTCACCCTGTTATAGCAGCGTATAGGAACAATACTATTTGAGTCGTCATGAAAGGGATTCTAATGAGGGTCAGGAGCTGGGGAGATGGGAGTAACTTCAGTGGGTGTTGCAGCCCTGTATTGTAAAGTCACACAGTCTGCCTTACTGTATGGTTATTGTAAGGCGCCACCCTGTTGCCTCAGTCATCAAAAACTACTTAGTTCCTCCAGTTGCTTTTATTAGAAACTTGGTGATTGGGGTGGGAAATTCAGCCTCCGGTCACTCAACCAGTAGGACTGGTGGTTGTTTAAAATCTTCTGAAGCGCCCTCCTGTTCACATTGTCCATGTTACCTTACTGGCCTCATAGTTTTCTAGTAGTATAGCTGATGAGTGCATTTCTGATCAGCAGCTGACTCAAACACCCGGACGTATCAACCTTTCTCAGCATGCATATGCTCACGTGAACTTTGAACTACATGGCTATCAATAACATAACAAAAGAACCAGATATGCTTTGCTTAGTTCTTTTGTTTTGTTACAGTAAATGATGCAACAGCCTCTAATAGAAACACACATGAACGCTTGAGTTATCAGTTCAGCATGAATTTAAGAAAAAATCTGCCGACACCTAAATGGGTTTACAACAATTTGATTTTAATTTAAATTGACCTTAGTATTGCCCATCGCAGGCGTCATGCAAGACATAATTTAAAGCTCCTTTTCATAAACAAGCATCCTTTGATTTCCCTCACTGGATCTCTTATTAATCACTTTAAAAACAGTTAATGCCTATAGTAAGACTGAAATCCGGTTATTTGTAACAAACTTAAACCCTTCTAGATTTTATTAATGTAATTCAGGCTGGAAGCCCACTGCTTGGTCTGCGCAGAAGTCTCAGCTCAAAGCTGCCCAACAGAGACCAGTAGCCCGACAGGACACTATGCTTGCATTTTCCATGTTGTTCGGGATGTTGTTGGAGTAGTAAACACTGTGTGGATGTGTTTGCCTGCTTGTTAACCCTTCTCCTCTCCCCTCAGGATGGCTTGGATGCGCTGGTGTACGACCTTGACTTCCCTGCCCTGAGGAAAAACAAGAGCATTGACAACTTTTTGAATAGATGTAAGTAGCTGGCGTCGTGCTTTTCTCCTTATGTCCTGCTTTAATGCTGATATCTCCATGTCTTTCACTTTAACCATTTGTGTTTGCGGACCCTTGTTACATGTGGGTACAAGCCTAGGCTCAGAAAAGAAAACTGTTTTTGGGTCACGGCCTTTATGTAGGCTTGGACACAATAGGTGTCTGCTGTTTAGTGTCCCCAACAAAGGGGCTTTCATAAATGGCTGGTGACCCACATGATGCTGATCGTGATGGCTTCTCTTTTTCTCAGTGTGCTCAAATTAGGGAATCCCCATAACTGTGTTGCAGGCAAAACAAAAAAGTATCAATCGAAGGCTGAGAGTGAGGCTAAACCTTTCCTTAACAGATCTGGTATAACTGCCCAATTCTCATTTACATTTCAAGGAAATGGCAGCTATCATGTTACAGTGTTTATTGCGGGACTTGTTCTTGTAAATCCAGGAATGTCTGAGGTGGGGGTAAAGAACCACTGTTATATCTCAGGGATATACGTGTTTAATTTCCTGAATTATCCATAGACAAACATATAATTTAGCAAAACACCAATAACCAAACATATGCTTACTCTCCCTGCCTCCTTTGGTTCTATCTCTTCTTATAACCCAAAAATATTCTCCCTCTCACGTTCTCCCTGGCAGGTTTTGCAGCCTTCTGTATCACTTTTCATTTTCCTTGGTTTCTCTTCATAGTCCTCCTGCAAAGAAACACTCCTCACAGATCTATTCAGAAAGATTAATTTTTATGTGCAGTAAGGATCAGGTAGTGATTTCTCACATGGGGATATGATTGGCACTCTGTATGCTGTGGAAGTGCACAGCTTTTTGTACTGGCCTTTCTCACTGTCCCCACAGCAGCAGATATTCATTAAGCCTATTAAAACCCTGCGCCTTTTTACTAGCAACGCATAGAATTAATTCATTTCACATAAGTTGATATGGTCGCCAAACCAGCGAATACAACCTGCCTTGTAAGATGTAGTTGCGAGAAAATTGTCAAGTTGTGTCTGAGCAGGACTTTTATTGGTTTGAGGAAAACTAGAATTCAGTGCTCCATATTTGCATATCAATCCAAGCTACTGTAAACCCTTGGGCAAAAACTGCCATTAGGCATCTCCTCAATTACTCTTGGTACTGTACTTTTGTGTATAACACCCAAGAGTTGGAAACGCATTGATGGATATGGATGGACTAATGGACTGGCTGTCTTGTGAGACACTGGCCCTCAGTTGCATGCATAGCCTGAAGGGCTCTTTACTCGGAACTCTCTCCTCCATGTATTGTGCTTTGCACCCTGATCGTATCAGCTGATTGCTCCACGGTATATATGCTGGGACCTACTGGAAATAATCCTCCTTCACCTCCTCCACACACAGCAACATAAAATGCTATTTGTACCATTTCTAAACATGGTTTATAAGTCTTTTTGGTCCTCTGGGATTTTTCCAGTAAGGACCGTGATCCCGGGAACCACTGCACAGAGTGGAAATGACTCACTCTCAAATGTTCTTATTCTAATAGCTCAGGGCTTACTTTTTTATTTTTAGATCGATTGAACTTGGATGCCCCTGCAACCCCCTTTTCCATGCATTCCCGTGCCAGTTGTGACCCATGTGAATTGAAAATTATCCCCCTAGTCCAGCTATGACCAAATTTGGCTGAACAGTGAAAGCTATCTCCCCTAGGGGAACTAGTGTTGTTACATCAGCGAGAGGTCTGTTCTGTTTGCCAACACACTGGATGTTCCTATGAAAGTTGTCCTCTGTTTTATGTAGATATTAAATGACACCTAATGATGTGAGATGATAAAAACAAGGCGGAACTGAGTGGGAGGGTGATCTTGCGTACAAAATGTAACCACTAGAATCTGCATTGTAATAACACAAACAACAAAATAGAACCCATCATCTGCAAGCTCTCTCAGGCACCTTATGCTGTATTAAGTTGACGTCACTGATCTTGCCAACTGTAACTTTGGCTGTGATGCTTCGGTGCACAAGGCTCAGGATAAGACTCCTCTTAAAGGTCAAAAGGCAGTGACTTAAGCAGAGCATAGATCCCTGCATTGATTCTATTTACTGTAACATCTGTCTTTGCTTGTTTTGCTTATTTTTCCAGACAAGGAAACCATTAGTAAAATCCGTGATCTACGCATGAAAGCAGAAGACTATGAGGTGGTTAAAGTTATTGGGAGGGGTGCATTTGGAGAGGTGCAGTTGGTAAGAGTGCCATTTTGTGTGTCTTTTTTGTTTCTTTTTTTTTTTTTTTTTTTTTTTTTTTTTTTTTGTAAATAACACTGTCTACAAACCTCTACTATAGTCAGTATTTATTCATTGGTTCAAAAATAATATATAATTTCTTATGCTCTGCTTTAAAACAACTTGTGAGATCTTGAGTAAGTCTGACTTGATTGTCACCTCATCATCTTTTCCAGGTAAGACACAGAGCCACATGTAAAGTATACGCCATGAAGCTGCTCAGCAAGTTTGAGATGATCAAGAGGTCGGACTCTGCTTTCTTCTGGGAGGAGAGGGACATCATGGCTTTTGCCAACAGCTCATGGGTGGTGCAGGTGAGATGTGATAAGAATATTTAACCTAGTTTAATATAGTTAAATCCAGCCTCATGTGAGTCTGAACTGAATTAGTCAGTTGAATGTCAGTTTTCTTTGATATTTGTTATTTTTCACCAATCATTTCTCACTTTTTTTGTTTTTTCTGCAGCTCTTTTTTGCTTTCCAAGATGATCGCTACCTCTACATGGTGATGGAATACATGCCTGGGGGTGACTTGGTTAACTTGATGAGCAACTATGACGTCCCAGAGAAGTGGGCCCGCTTTTACACAGCTGAGGTGGTGCTGGCTCTGGATGGGATCCACTCCATGGGCTTCATTCACAGGTAGAAGAATACTTCTAGCTTCTCCTTGTTGTGTTTGTTGGTCTTGGTTTTGAAATTGGCTCCAGTCAAACACACAGATGTGATACATTTCTAATGGAACTGTTGTTTCTTACCTCTGTGAGGCACTCCTTAAGTTTTTATTCTGTTTGGAACAGCCCCTGAGGCCTCGTACAAAGGGAATGTGTAAAATCATTTAGCTTTTATGGTCCTTGACGACTGTGAGATATGCTGGAGGCTCCGGAAGGTGTGGTGGCAACCTATGATCTAAGGGGACCATTGTAATAAGCAGGAAGTAGTCCAGGGACAGAGGCACTGTTTTTAGCATGAATGCTAGCTGCTAGTGTTCTAACTATAGGTCTCATGGTACATTACTACTTGTTTTCACAACTGCGACTCATTTACTTGGGCGCAAAATTCCCTCTGAATTTATGCTATAAACCAAAAAATAACACTTTGCTTCTTCTCTGCCTGAATCTGTGAGAGGCTTTTAAATGAATTGTTCTCTCATTCCTGTTGTTTTCTTTCAGCAATGATTTAAAGGAGATTTAAACTATTTATTAGAGTTGTTTTCATTCAGTTTCATTCCACGATGGTGGTCGTGGATCTGTTGTATCTCTTGGAGCACTAGGGGCATTAATCTCTGGACTAGGTGGCACCACATTTATATGATATTATTTCTCTACACAACAGCCATGAAATATTTTTCCCCCCTTTTTATTAAATGGTTACTGATATTATTCTGCACAATAAGCTCTGTGCACAGCTGCCGTGGTGGAAAGATTCACACTTTGACAGTTGTATTAAACAGTTCTCTGCTGTTTTCCCATTAGCTTGCTGAAAGTTGTAGCGAAAGGAAATTTCAAGAACACATAAATTCTGCTCCCTCAGTTCCCAGCTCCCTTCATACCTCATTACATCTGACCTATCGCTGCAGTGGAGTGTAGCACCTTCAGACAGCTCTCATTTGGAGAGCTGTTTTCCCAAATGCTCTAATCTTAACTGCACACAAACACTCCTGCAAAGTGCTGCAGTTCTTGATATATGCTTGAGTTTGATGTATTGTGTATATGTGTTTGATATGATGCATATTTTTTACTTTTTGCAGGGACGTGAAACCTGATAACATGTTGCTAGACAAGGCAGGCCACTTAAAACTGGCAGATTTTGGGACCTGCATGAAAATGAACAAGGTATCACAATATCATCAGTAGTTTGCTTTATGATTAACATCTCTCCAGTTACTTTGATTGACTCCTTATTCCAGCAGAATATTTTTAATGTTTTTTTCCCTCCCCTCAGGATGGTATGGTACGATGCGACACAGCGGTGGGAACTCCAGACTACATTTCACCTGAGGTACTGAAATCCCAAGGAGGAGATGGCTATTATGGCAGAGAGTGTGACTGGTGGTCAGTGGGAGTGTTCCTGTACGAAATGCTAGTTGGTGAGTTTCTGAAAAAGTCAACAATTTGGGGTTGATTTTGTAATTTTACCAATTATAAGTTTACTAATAATGTGGAGTATATGCTCTTTTTTTATAAATCATAACAAAAACCCTTGATCATTTTTACCTTTTACTTACAATATAAAACATAAAAATGATTAGTGATGATGAGTAACGATAGTAATGATCAGTAACCACCGACTCTTGTTGGTCTTGTGTTGTGCACAGGCGACACTCCTTTCTATGCAGACTCACTGGTGGGGACCTATAGCAAAATTATGAACCACAAGAACGCCCTGACCTTCCCTGAAGACAGCGACATCTCCAACGATGCCAAGAATCTCATCTGTGCTTTCCTGACTGACAGGTTAGAGAACCACAGAACAAGTGCTGGATCATTGAAGAGGGTCCTTATCTGTAGAGCCTGTCTTTGTTTAGGTGATAAGTGTTTTCTGGTGTAGAGGAGCCTCTGTGGAAAGAATCCTGATAGAAATGTTCATACTACCAAAGAAGCTGTGCCTTTATGCATCAAGAAGAGATATCCCTGCTTTCTTCTACTACTATTTTTAAAATCACTCTCTCTCTCTCTCTCTCACACACACACACACACAGACACACACACACACACAGACACACACACACACACAGACACACACACACACACAGACACACACACACACACAGACACACACACACACACACCCACCCACGGATGAAAGTTCTCCGCCGCGGTGCTGGGGCTGTTAAGATAAGATAATAGATAAAAAAAAAAGATAATTATATGTCTACTGCATATTCACATAGCAAGAATATGGCTGCATATGTATGTGTACAGCCACAAGGAATCCTATATTTTGTATTAATAAAGTAGACCTGCTTTATTCATAAAAACCTTTGTTTACACTCTGGCTCAGCGAAGTGTGCACGTGGCTATGCTACTTTGAAAAAGCACTTTTTGCTCTCATATCATGGTTGCGATCTTTTGGACTAATTTGGCAATCATTTAACAGTAGGCCTATCAGGCCACATCCGCTGTTTAGAGACCGACAGAGGAACAAGTGCTGAAAAGTTTGAAACATATGCATATCGGATATTGTTTATGGCTTTGGTTTATGACTTGGATACAATTACCAGACTGCGGTCTCTGACTGAGGAAAGGGTGAGTTTGGCCATTTGAACCTTTCAAGTCAACTGTCAAGATTCACATTTAGAATTTATTAGATTTGGTTTTCTTTTCTTTCTGGAACGCTACAGCCGTCATCTGTCTGGCTTGTAGCCTACAGCTCGCTAGGCTATGTTTTTAGCATCATATCAACAAAGTATCTCTAAGTTCGGGCACAGAAATTGTCCTGGATTTCAACTCTGCACATAGAACTGTTGAAATTATAAAGTATCAAACTAAGCCTGTTCTCTCTGACCTCTACAGGGAAGTCCGGCTTGGCCGTAACGGTGTTGATGAGATCAAGAGGCATCCTTTCTTCAAGAATGACCAGTGGACATGGGAGAACATCAGAGAAAGTAAGAACATTTTTCACCGCTAAGGCCACCGATTACTTTCACACCTCCCATGTCTGCTCCCTGTTATTTCAATCATGCAGCCTGCGTTCATGTTTTCCATTTGACCTACTACAGACATTTGCAGGAAATTCTTGTAGACGAGCCATTCATTCAGCATCCTATCCAAGACTAAACGTGATTCCTGCTCAGAGTAATAATTGGCAGCACAGCGTTTTTGAGGCCAACAACAGGGGAAGCAGTTCAATGCAAATGTTAATGCGCTGGGATTGACACTGGAGCAGAGAGAGATTAGAAATGTAGAGCTAAATCCAGTAGCTAGAGTCAGTCCTTTAGTGGCTTTATATTTAATACTTCACTAGGCTGAAGTCAGCACTTTGGTGTTGGCCACCCCTGTCGTTCCACTGGCTGATCAGCTCTGCTAGCTGGCTGGTTTCCCTTGTTTTAAAGAGAGTTTCAAAAGAGATCTGTGATCCAGCAAAACTCTGCAGAGAAAACTGAAACATTGGTTTCTGTCTTTTATCTGTCCCAGATAATCTAACTCAAAATGCAGCAATGATGGATACAAAAAAAAAGATTTCTACTTATCTATTTACAGTGATAGTGGTGGGAGGGAGAAAAAAAGTCAATGTCAAAAATGTGTAATAAACCTGAGCATTTTCAAGGCCTAATGTGATCATACAAGTTAAGGGTATACTTGTATCTATCATTACAGTTTGATTGAATGATGAAGAATGAACATTAACTGATCTTACTTAAATTATAGGCTTATTTTACTGCTGTGATCGCTGATGTGAACTTTAACAGCATCAGATCAGAGAACATTAATAACATAGATTTCAGTGCCGTTCAGAGATGGTCTGTGTATTTGAAGAGCTTCAGTTGTTTTGAATCTTTATTTTGAGGCTTTTGCATCATGTACTGTACCTTTAACACACAGAACAAACTGTACTGAACTGTGAAGGCCCTATTTTTTCCTGTATCATCATGAATCTTCCATCTCCTTGTGCCACGTGCAGCGGCTGCTCCAGTAGTGCCTGAGCTGAGCAGTGACATTGACACCAGTAACTTTGACGACATTGAGGAGGATCGGGGAGAGGAGGAGACCTTTCCCATACCAAAGGCCTTTGTGGGCAACCAGCTCCCCTTCGTGGGCTTCACTTACTACAGCAATCAGCAGTAAGTCTGCCAGATACTGCTGCACACCATGTCCAGGCCTATACTTTGTAATTTATTGAAGAAATAGTGGCAGTTTTAAGTTTTTATGTGGAGAAGAGGTTTTAATTTATTTGTTGTAGTTATAAAAAAAAAGTGTTGTTCTTCCAGCCTTTTGCGCAGCTCCACCACCACAAAGACCAGTGACAAACGTAGCAGCTCCACGAAGGAAGACAAGAGTCATGTGAGTAGAAGACCACAGTTTTTAAGAAAAAGTATTCTTAAGAAGAAGTAGACTATTTACCAATTTTCCATCTTGATCATGCATTCAAATGGTCTGTTTCTGTGTAGCTGGAAAACCTGCAGAAACGAATCTACCATCTGGAGGAGCAGCTCCACGGTGAGATGCAGCTGAAGGATGAGTTGGAGCAGAAATGCAGGTATGCAACCGGGTCATTTATTCATACACAAAAAGGTTTACTTAGTCAAACTAAAGACCTGATGTAAATTCTTCGGTTTCTGAGACAGGTTGATAAACAAGGGTGTTATAGGGAGATGGGAAGGAGCATTGAGGCTTAATGAGAACCTGTATAAAAAGTAAAATTGTGATATCTGTAAAATACAAAAAGGGCCAGAGATAAATTGTCATCACTATTTTATTATAGAGAGGAAACCAGACTTTCATGTACCCTCCACAGTACTTGTTTTAAGAGACATTCAATGTTGTTAAGTATTTTTTCTCAAACTCTTCTTCTAGGACGTCAAACACCAAGATTGACAAGATCATGAAAGAACTGGATGAAGAGGTGAAATTCTAACACCTTTTTTTTTCTCTCTCTCTCTCTCTCTCTCTCTCTCTCTCTCTCTCTCTCTCTCAATTTTAATTTCTTGATAGTGGCAGCTTTGCAATTATATCCCATATAAAGAAAACGTACACTGAAGCTACAGCTTTAATGTTTTGGTAAATTGAGTAGATGACTGTTTACAATCAGAGGCTAAGGATTAAGGATTGGTTTGTGCCTGCCACATGATAGCTACTTTGTTGTTCCTTGCCACAGGCAAACCTTAGGAAGAGTGCAGAGGCCAGCGTGTCTCTGCTGGAGAAGGACAAGATCATGCTGCAGCACAGATTCACCGAGTACCAAAGAAAAGCTGACCAGGAGGCGGAGAAGAGACGCAATTTGGAGAATGAGGGTAAAGTTTGAACATAGTTTAATTACATGGTAATGCCTTCATCCTCTCAGTGTCATTTGATCTGGCCAAGACGGATGTCCCAAATGGATTACTTGGTATCCTGGTGTGAACCCCCCCCACACACACACACACACACACACACACACACACACACACACACACACACACACACACACACACACACACACACACACACTTTGCTCGCTGCTAGCTACAGATCTAGTTAAGTGCTAAACCATGCACATGTCTCTCTGAATTTCACATTGACTTCCTACAGTAGATAGCACTAAGTGGATTAACAAGGTGGGAGCTGCTAAAATTGAAGACGTGATATACTTTGCACACAATTTAACATCATTTTCATCAGGAATTTGCAGTTGTTATTTTGTTTGGCTTTGAAATAGGACTGTAAATGAAGCCCTGTCTAATTCATTTCCTGTCTGATTATTTCTAGTGTCAACTTTAAAGGAGCAGCTTGAAGATATGAGGAAGATCAGCCAGAACTCGCAGGCCTCCAATGACAAGATTGCCCAGCTGCAGAATCAGGTACAGAACACATGCACATGGAGGGTTTTCCCTGCCATTATAAGTCTTCACTGCAGCTCCTAGACATTTTTGCAAAGGGCCTAAACCCAATGAACGGAAATAACTATGCTCACAGTTCTCAACTGCTCTGGACAGAAAGGATTGGCCCCTAATATGGCCCTAAGTATGTATGTTTGTTTCTGAAACTTTCGTTCAAACAAACTGGGGTTTGTTTACTATATCAGGACTAGATGTGTTCAGTCATTACAGCAGATATTCCTTTTAGAACGGAGAGAGAACCGGTGTGACTATGGTCTCTCTCAGAGCATTATGGGTTAGTGAGTTTTCAAGTCTGTCTATAGTGAATCTTTCAGAGTTAATCAACCTTTAAAAGTGTTTCGTTAGTCCAATGTAACTCGCAGGAGTCTCTGGTGGCCGGTGTGACATGTTGTAACAGAGGAAATAAATTCATGATGAGTGAGAACGAGTTTTTAGCTTCTCCTCTTCACTGCAGAACTGAGTCAAGGAGGAAATCTGTCCAACAGCCAAGAATTACGTCAGTCACAGATGATGAACTCAAAAAGACTGAAGTCTGAAAAATGTTAATGTCAGTGAAAATAATTAGGCGAGAGGAATGAGAGGGAGAGGAGAATAGACTCGCTACAGTAACTCAGTCAGCTGACTTGTGGCCACAGGGAAAGTGAGCTGTCTGCAGACGTCCAACCGAACAAATATTTTGGGGAAACAGCCAAATGCTGTTACGCTGTCAGATGGCTATGGATGGATGAGAAAATTGGCGTTTGTATCCATTCAGTACAAGTCTTGTCTGCCAGTGCTATTAACTGTGGCGCACACTGCGATAACTCACAAAAATATTGAAGGATTACTCAAGGACATAGTGCTCACTTCATCAGTGAGCATATTTATTTCACTGTTCTTCTTGCTTAATGTCTGAGTGTACTGTGAAAAACAACCAGTGTTGTGTCTTTATAAATGTTTTAATGATAATGGTCCAAAATGATGAGAGAGTTATATTTTTACAATGCACGATATCCAAACGCCCCGACAGCGCTTTCGCCCTCCAGAAACCTTGGGTAAACCCTGACGTGCACAGACGCAGACAATGCATTTGGCTTCATCCCTTCTCAACCTCTCTATTATGATTGGCAGCTGGAGGAGGCCAATGACCTGCTGCGTGCAGAGTCGGACACGGCAGCGAGACTGAGGAAGAGCCACACGGAGATGGCAAAGTCAATGAGCCAGTTGGAGAGTTTGAACCGAGAGCTGCAGGAGAGGAGCCGCGCAGCCGACGGTGAGAAGGCCCAGCTGGAGAAGGACCTTCTGCTCGTTCAGAGCACCCTGGACTCGGAGAGGAGGAACTACAGCCAGGGATCAGAGGAGATCAGGGAGCTGCAAGGTGACCCACTGACACACAAATGATGACACTGACACATGCAAATCAAATCACTTCAAAACACTTCCAAAAAAAAACACGCTTAACCAGTTTTACGTTGTAAAATCTGATTTTGATGTTTATCACAACAGAGTGAAAAGCTGACTTTAAAGACAAAGCCATGCAGGGGTGTATAAAATACAAACTCTGTGTGGTTCCAAATCACTCTTTAAGACTAATAATCTCACTCTCATTCAGACGTGAGACAGCCGCATAAATAGAAGCACTGACAGCAGCCAAATCCATCTCTGGCTTATCCGTCAACTGTTTATCTTTTAATGGGAAACAAGATTTGAAAGTCATAAGTTATTTGGGGTGGAGGGATACTGAACTCATTTTAAGTCAAACTGTATGTCAAAGAAATATGACACAGACTGAAACTATGAAATATGGCTTTAAAAAAAAAAACAGATTTTGCACTGAAAATACCAACTTGTCATAAACCATGATTCTGACTGTTTGTCTTTATCTTTCGATTCTCAGCGAGGATGGCAGGGCTGCAAGAGGATAACAAAAACTTGAAGCTCAGCCTCTCCAAAGTGGAGGCAGAACGTAAACAAGCCCAGGAGAGGAGCAATAACCTGGAGAAGGTATACACAAGAAGCAGCAGTAGTAGGATTCATGCAATTTTAAGAATTGCTGTTATTTTAAATGAGACAAATGGAGAGTGGTGTGTTCAGATTGCTTCATGTTTGCCTGGTTGTGACCACCCCCCCCACCCCTCATCCCACAACAGGAAAAGAACAACCTGGAGATAGACCTGAACTACAAACTGAAGACCTTACAGCAGCGTCTGGAGCAGGAACAGACTGAGCACAGGGTGACGCGGGCACAGCTCACTGACAAATATGAATCTATTGAAGAAGCCAAATCAGCTGCCATGAATGGTATGCCAGTCCTATGTCAGAGCATGCCCTACTCATTCTTTTTCGCCATGCTTTGATCCCTTTTCTCTTTCTCTCTACAATCCTACTTTGCCTTCTCTCTCTTTCTTAATTTTTATTGCCTTTCCACCGTTATTTAACTTCTACCTCACTCCATCACCTTCTTCCTGCTTTGTCTTTTCTTTTCTACAATCTGATCAGACTCAGCGCCTGGGGCTGTTTGGGTAGGAGGAATTCAAGGAGTGTCAGTCAGCCAGTCAGCGTGTTAGGGCATTGCCTCATTGTATATTAAAGCTGGACTCTAAAGCAGTTTTTGCAGTAGAATGATGATCTGTCCAGGTGATTTCCTGCCTTTCACCTAGTGTATACTGCAAGAGACTCCAGCTTCTACTCGTCAGATTTCTTCCATGCTGATGTTCTTCCATCCTTGTCCATGTTTACAAGTCCTGAATATTTTAAAAGGTTCAAATCACACTGTTAGTTTACAGAACACAAGGTTTCTTTTGAAACAAACGGAGCTCAGAACATGTGGTTGGTAAAAGAAAAAAAAGAGAAAATTAGTTAGAAAATGTGCTTTAGCTGCTGATAATCAGATTTTGTGTTAATCCAGTTGTCACATTTATTCAAAGTGATACTCGGAGATTGATAAAAGATCAGAACACACAGTGTTCTTCTATATAGTCATTGAACATGGAAGGGAACTTCCAGATTTGGTAGATATTGGACAGATGCAATGGTCAGGGTGAGTTCAGGATTACCAAGCATCCAGAGCATTTAAATTATAATACAAGATGTTCGGTTTGCTTGATATTGTGTCAGGTGGCAGTAGGACAGAGTTGACTGTTAGTCTTTCATTTTGCTTCTCCAGCTGTTCAGCAGAAGATGTCTGAGGAGAATGGAGCGAGGATGAGAGCTGAGAGCCGGGTAGTGGAGGTGGAGAAGCAGTGCTCAATGCTAGAGTTTGACCTCAAGCAGTCTGTGCAGAAGATGGAGCAATTGATGAAGCAAAAGGAAAGGCTGGAGGATGAGGTAAGTGATCCCTCTCACCTTTTATAATATTCAGTTATATCAAAGAAAAGATGCTTGTGTATGGCATGTGTGCGCAACCTCACCTCTCTTATGTCTTCCTCCTCCTCCTCCAGGTGAAGAATCTGCGGATACAGGTCGAGCAGGAGTCGAGCAAGCGTGTCCTGGCTCAGAATGACTTGAAGAGCCGCACGCAGGAGGTGGACCGTCTTAGATGTTCGGAGAAGCAGCTCAAACAGGAGATCAACACAGCACTAGAGAGTAAACGCTCGCTGGAGTTCCAGCTGGCACAGCTGACCAAGTAAGTGGTCTTTCTGCATCAGAATGTAAAAAAAAAATCTCAGTCAGTAAAATTGATTACTTATTTTTCCATTAATTTAAATATATATATATATATATATATATAATATATATATTATATAAATATATATAAATATATTAAATATATATATATATTGTATATTATATAGTACTACATGTAGTCCATCCACTTCTTACATTGCACCAGACATAGTCTAGTTTAATGTGCATAAAATAAACCCTTCTAGGTTTTCTAGGAAAATAGGAACATTTGAGGTTACCTGTGATATTGTGCCAGTTGTTATTATTACTCTCAAACAAACTGGCAGCAACTCCAGCCAGGAGATCTACTTTTCTGTTATTGTTGCACTGCCCAGTAATGCTCTTTGGAAGTCGGGGCGTAAATTGCTCTACAATTGACTGCTATTTTCAAATAGGTGCTATTATTCCAGCTTAGGGGGTGACTATGCCAAAGCTGTTCTGTGACCGTGTTTACACCACAGGATTAGGGTTTACTCTGAGTCCAGCTCCATCCACTCTGTGGCTAATCCTCTGGCGAGCAGAGCAGCCAGTGCTGCTGGGTTGTGCTTTTAGTTGCACTCACAACAGCGGCTGACTTTTTAGAGTCTGGCTTTGTTTGCCTGGCTAAAGAGTGTTGCGCAGAAACATGTGAGAGTGTAAAGTTGGTCAGATGCATGGATTTAATGAAGTTACCTCATGTTTTTTTTTGTTGATTTGTTACCAGACAATACAGAGGCAACGAGGGACAGATGAGGGAACTTCAGGACCAGCTTGAGGCCGAACAGTATTTTTCTGTAAGTACAAGTCTCTCAGTCCCGCACTGCCTCTGCCCACTTTATTCAGTGTAAACGCTGTGGTCTAAATGACCTGTCTGTCCTCCCTCAGACGCTTTACAAAACTCAGGTCAAGGAGCTAAAAGAGGAGATTGAGGAAAGGAACCGGCAGGTACAAGAGGCTAATAAAAAGGTGCATGAGTTGTGCAGTGAAAGGTAAGAAACTGAATTCTCTTCAGCCATTGCAGCCATGCGACTCATAGATTTAACCATCCAAATATTCATAATTGACCAGCTAATGTTTTAATGCTCTGTTGTTTGTTCAAATTTTTGTTGTTGTCAGATGTCTGACGACGAGGATTTTATTTAACTAACGTATAAAATTTGTTTCGTCCTGGACAAAGGGACTCCCTGTCCGCCCAGCTTGATCTGACGGTGACCAAGGCCGAGTCAGAGCAGCTTGCTCGGGCGCTTCAGGAGGAACAGTACTTTGAGCTCAGCCAGGAGAGCAAGAAGGCGGTGACTAGACATAAGCAGGAGATCGGGGAAAAGGAAGCTACCATTGCACGAGTGAGGAAAACCTTAAGTGTCTCTCCAACTGTAGTTTATTATGTCCCTCCACCATGACAACGTTTTGCGGATACAAGATACAATATTAATCAGTTTAATCAGGAAAATAAATAAATTCCACATTTCTGTGCAGCTTGAAGAATCCAATAAAACTCTGACCAAAGATGTGGAGAACCTCAGCAAAGAGAAGTCTGATTTGAATGAGAAGCTTCATATTCAGGATGAAGGTACCACACCTTTTGTTGGCTTTTATTTTTCCCTGCTATATTGTAACTCTGCTATTGTACGAGCTTGACTGTCTTTTCCTTGACAGAGTATGCAGCTCAGAAGGAGGAGATTGCAAATACAATCAAGGCCACCTATGAGAAGGTCCTCAACAATGAGCGCACACTGAAGACTCAGGTAAAGATGGACCTTTTCAGTCCAGACGGTGAACACTGGTAATGCATGTGAGGAATGGTGGCTGATCTATCTCCCTCAATCTGTCAGGCGGTGAACAAGCTGGCAGAGATCATGAACCGCAAGGACATGAAGCTGGACCAGAAGAAGAAGGGCAGCACTGCCGACCTCCGGAAGAAGGAGAAGGAGAACCGCAAGCTTCAGCTAGAGCTTAACCAGGAGAAGGAGAAGTTTAACCACATGGCCATCAAGTATCAGAAGGAGTTGAGCGAGATGCAAGCGGTAAGTTGCCTCAGGGTGCTGGAGGCTAGAATAATTATGTAGGACCTCCCCCGTACCCCCTGATTTTAACCAAAATCTCTTCACTTTCCCGCCAACAGCAACTAGCAGAAGAATGCACATATCGCAACGAGCTGCAGATGCAGCTGGACAGCAAGGAGAGCGACATCGAGCAGCTTCGGGAGAAACTGAACGACCTGCAACAGCGCATGGATAACTCAAGTGTCACCAGTTTGCAGACAGATGAGACAGACAGCAACATCGCAGGTAAGGTCACCACCACGGACACCGCTGCTTCCACTAACACAAATCTCAACCACAGGATTCCTCTGCAGCTAAAAAGTCTTGGAAATGAATTTTAGTAGTATCTTCACAGTTAGGAAATGGCCATAGTTTTATATTCCTCTTCGTATATTGCTGTAATGTAGTGTGTTAGGATTTCTTTTATTACCTCTTTGAGAGATGCTACCTTTTTGGTGCTTTTGACATTTAATTATTACTTCAGGTAAAACCTTTTGTCCTTGTTGAAATCAGTGCGTTTCCTAGTTCTGTTACTTTGTGTGCAGTGTGTAATTTAAGCCTTTAGGGAGTTAAAACTTTTTTTCTACATATTTAGAACATAGTAAGAGGTTGTAAGACACTGTTCAACAGTTGCCTTTGGTTTTAGGTTTAGTACATTTAGTTAGAAAGCCAAGGCAATCATAGCTTTATTAAAGTCCAGCTGCTGTACTTTCCACCATATGTTGAGTAACGGTTGTTCAAAATGAGTGATGAACTCATCTTTTCTAACATGAATACGAATGTGCCTCGTTCTAGGTCTGTTTTCATGTATTGCTGGTGTCTGTGGTTAAACCATTCTCTCTTTATTTCCCTCATGTCCAGTTGGTTCTCCTTGCTCTTCTTATCTTTGTAACTTCTATTCCTTTCCCTCTGTGAGTAACTGAGTGGACGAGCCCCCTCTTGCCTGGCCTGCGTTGCAGCTGCTGTGTGTTTTGTCCTTTTGCCCCTGATTTTCTTAAGTGTTCTTTTGCCAGAGGTGACACAGCCATCTCTGTTGGGGGAATTCATGAAACACTTTTGAAAGAAGCCTTATTGAGTGGGAACTAAAATGACATTTATGAATTGTCAGAAACAGTCTGAGCAACAAAATTCATTGACTAACATTAACAGGATGTTAAAGGTCACTGCTGCCAGTGACTTTGCTTAATGTCACATGGTCTGCCCTAACGGTAAAATGACCACATGAGAACAGAGTTTACTGACTACACCCTGTGTAAGGTTTACCGCATCACTCTCAGCACCTTTCAAAATGTGTCTTGAAACTGAAAAGGCTGTTTTTAATTCATAGCACTGTGTGCTTCAGACACTTAACACTATTGTTTTTTTGTTTTTTGTGTTATTGTGTCGGCATGTTCACCTAGTAGTACTGCTCGTTTTGGACACAAAGATTTCCCTCACAATGGCACATTTAGCAGACAGGCCCCTCTTAGTTCACTGTCCTGTTTAGCTTGTGTTATTTCAGCTGCATGCACTTAGAATCATAATTTGACCACAGAATAATGTTTACATATGTTTGTTTCTATTAAAGGAGTGAGTGATCAAGCTAATTGGATGAAAATAAACACTAATTCCTGCTGCAAAACTGTTATTATAGAGTTATTAACATTTATAAATTATCAAACGCCCATGCTCTGTTAACAAGCTGTAGGAAGGACTTAACTATGAAATATTTTCCTCCTGCATGGGGAATGTGTAGCAGCAGCAGCAGCATGGGATCTCTAAACTCATCCCTTGTCACCTACTCCAGTGCAGTTACCTTAATGCTGGCAGAACTCCTTGAGGGGTTCGTCTAGTGTTATGAAACAATTATGACCTTTGTGATTTGACTTTTTTTTTTTTTTTCCCCCAGTTGAGTTTGGATTTAATCACTTCATGGTTACACACATACACTCCATTGATGTGTTTTTTGACTGGGCTACTTTTCAGAATCCAGATTGGAGGGCTGGCTGTCCATTCCTAATCGTGCTAATATCAAGCGATACGGATGGAAGAAGCAGGTGTGTTGTGTTTCTTTGGAATTTCCTCTGTTTACCAGAATTTTGTTAAACTTTGTTATGCTGCCCCTTGGACAATATCTGCCTTCCTTTCATTGTCTATTTAATATTTGCAGTATGTGGTGGTGAGCAGTAAAAAGATTCTGTTCTACAATGACGAGCAGGATAAGGAACAGTCCAACCCCTCAATGGTACTAGATATCGAGTAAGTATTTTTTGTCCTGACCTTTACTTTTTTCTTGAAAATTATGACAGTCAAAAGGAGCAATCTACAGAGGTTATGTTACAGATCATTAGTGCTGACAGATTTATGATATTTAATTGTTAATTCTGTATCTTCTTGTGCAGCAAACTATTTCATGTGAGACCAGTCACTCAAGGAGACGTGTACCGGGCTGAGACAGAAGAGATTCCAAGGATATTCCAGGTAGGAGGCTCTTTCCTGTCCTGGGGTTGTCTCTAGATTTTTAAAATTTGCCCTCCAACCCTGTCTCCTCTTCTGCATTTACTTCTGATGTCAAGTTATTTTTCTGACGAGACGCTCTTTTTCTCCGTCTGTATTCAGATTCTGTATGCCAACGAGGGGGAGTGCAGGAAGGAGGCGGACATGGAGACGGTCCCTCAGGGCGACAAGACCAACTGTCTCCCACACAAAGGCCACGAGTTCATCCCCACGTTATATCACTTCCCTTCAAACTGTGAGGCCTGCGCCAAGCCTCTGTGGCACGTCTTCAAGCCGCCTCCAGCTCTGGAGTGTCGCCGCTGCCACGTCAAGTGCCACAAGGACCACCTCGACAAAAAGGAGGATGTTATTGCTCCTTGCAAAGGTAACCTGACCACAGTCTTGTTCTTGTTAATCTAAGCTGTGATGATTTATAGCATATATTACACCTACAGTAGATATTTTAGCCCTAATCTTGACATGACTGTTAAAATGTTGGTGGGATTCACAATGACTCTTGAGGAGTTTGAGTTACACATGTTATTTGCCGCTTTTATAACTTAATATTACATAAACATTGGAAATGAAAAATCTTATTTTATGTCGTAAGATGTATTTAGCTGTGACTTAATGTTCTTAATGGTGCCTAAAATTCTTTTAATTTGGTTTTGAGGAGGAAGTTTTCAGCAAAATTTAACCATGAAGTAGAAGTTTAATGAATGTTCGATAAGTGTATCAACAGAAAATTAATCGGCAATAATCTTGATAAGAGCTCAGTCATTTCCTTAAGTGTTTGCTGATTTTTTTTGTCTTCTATGATAGTAAAAGGAATCTTTTTGGGTTTCGAACTCGTGGTTCCACAAAGAAAGCAATTGAAATATATCATTTGGGCTTGGTAAAATTGTGATGGCGATTTTTCACAATTTCTGACAATTAATAGATCAAACAAACAATCGATTAATCAAGAAAATAACAGGCTGATTAATTGATAATGAGAAGAATCCTCAGTTGCAGCTTTAAAATCTTGAGATGTCATGTTTATCAGATTATCATCTTGATCAGCATCATTTTATGCCATCCCCTACAGTAAATTACGACGTAACCTCTGCCCGGGACATGCTCCTGCTGGCCCTGACCCAAGATGAACAGAAGAAATGGATTGGTCACCTTGGAAAGAAAATTCCCAAGACCCCACCATCTACATTTTCAAGAGCCTCTCCTCGTTCTATGTCCACTCGCTCTGGGCCAAACCAGTCCTTCCGCAGGAACCCTAAAAGCAATACAGGAAAGCTGAGGTAACTATACATTTTGGGACTAATTTCTGTGCTTTTGAGCTGTTCATGTGTTTTACTCTGGTTCCGTATAAATATGTTTTCTTTTTTTCAGTCACTAATATTCAAATAGCTATGGCGAACTGCATGGCCTACAATAAGGCACTGTAATATTATTTTAGGCAGTAAGTGAGGGTGTGTGCTCCAGTCAAAAGTCTTATTTTATCCCATCTGGTGGGCTAAGATGTGGTCAAGTCAGTCACATGACCTGCTGTTTGTCTCCTGTGTTGTAGCAGAGCGCAGTCCAGCCTCCAAGCAGCAGACACAACATCCAGCACTTGTTGACAGGAACTTCTTCAGAAGTGTTAACGTTTTTTTTTTTTTAAGACTTTTGTCTACAGCTTTAAACTTGTCTATTTATTAATTGTGTTACTGGGTGCTTCTAACACGAGACACTTCCTGGTTGGTTGGTTGGTTGGTTGGTTGTTTGACTCCTGGGCTCTTTCCAGTTGACACTTGGGATTCTCGTTTTTCTAATTGGCACTAATGTGTTGTTGGGCTCAGTAACTAACTTACTATACAACTCTTGTTAGAATGGTCCACATTAAGGATTTTACAATACGCGTCAAACATGATGCAAAGGTCTTAATGGTGTTGCAGTGTCTGTAAGCAAGCTTTTCTGTTGTGCGTTGACTTAAATTGGGTTTACTAACCATGGTAAAGATACTATCTTTCTTTTACTGGACATCTGTCTCTATTCTTTCTTTCAGCTAACCATCTGAACCGTTCCTCATCCTCAAACACGGAGAAACCTGTATTACATAGAAAATTCAATTTTAAAAAAAAAAAAAAAAAAAAAAAAAAAAAAAAAAAAAAAATCAATAAATAACCAGCGCTGGACACATGTCAGACACAAGGCATCATGGACATTAAGAGGCCTGAACTCCCCCTCCCCCCTCCACCGCCTTTCTTCAAGAGAAAAAACCATCATCCAACTCAACAAACTTGCAGCTCTCCATTTCTACCAGAAGATGGCACACTTGTCTTGAACTAAACATGGACAGTGCAGCGATATAGAGGGACTCATGTCATGGAGCCATTCTGTGTTTCATATTATATGACAGTTCTGATGGAAACGGCAAGGTAAAAGGGGGTTTTGCTGGGACTCCTGCAAGTATGTGTTCAGTTTAAGGTACTGTCATACAGGGATTTCAGATCTGCAGTGAGTGGTTGTGTCTCAGGGGTGGAAAATGAATATCTGTTTTGTAATTTCTTTCCCCACCTTGACAGATACTCAAGCTAGATGCAAACATAATTCTGTTTCCAGCTACAAGAAAAAGACTGATGCCTTCATCTAATGTTCTGGCCTTTTTGCCTTTATTCTTATCACTCTGCAAGTCACTTATCAGGTTTTGGACAGAGTATTGGGACACAAGTATTAGATGTTTTGAGTATTGAGTGAGGAGCATGCAAGATCATCACAAGTCTATGCATTATTTTTATTATTATAATTATTTTTATTGCTCCAAGCCATAAGGAATATTCCATTGTAATGGCATATAGGAGTCCTGAAACTTAATTGATTTTTTTTTTTCTGTTTATTTGGTACATTGTAATATTGTTTCTTGTATTGTTTATTTTTTTGTAATGTATTGCCTTACATTGATTCATAGATAAATGGTTCAAAAGGAAAACATTAAGTTAACAAAATGTAAAACTGCACTGTTTGAATTGTAAATTATTTGTAGAAGACTAAACAGGTGTAGCATTTGGCCCACCTAGTGCCTTAACGTTTGGATATTGATTTTACTGCCATATCTGTTTGTTTGTTTTTTTTTGTTTTTTTTTTTCTCCAAAACAAGACAAATCTTAACTCTTCCATCATTTATTTTTTAAGAAATCGCCACACATTTGTGGTTTTATCGGAACTTACTCTCTCTGGTTTGAGTATATAAAATATATATATTAGATTACCTCTTTATGGACACATTGCAATAGAGTTAGCGTGTCAAAACGAAGTCCCCAGACTCGGTTCATATCGTATGACAAATTTTGGGATGGTGTACTTTAAGTGAGCCTACCTGTGTCAATGATTGTCCTTGTTAACACTCACAAGTTGTGTCTCTAACAAGGTAATGTCCCGTTAATGCAGACCCCCCTACAGTGTATATAATAAGAGAGACATAAGGATTATGGAATACCTCCGCAATCTTTTCATTTGTAACTTTTTGTTCAGTTAAAAAAAGAAAAAAAGCACTGGAACTATGATCTACTCTTGTCTTGGATAATTTGCATGGTTAATTGCATTGGAGTCCGCACTGATGGATATGTCAATAAACATATCTTTATCATTCATTGTATACTAGTTTTCACTGCCGATACTAATCATTGGTTTCATATTTTATTATCAGGCCATACATGGAACCATCCCAAAACTAGATTACTATTGAAGCAAAGTGGACAACTGTCCTCAGGGCTCTGAAAGCTCCAGATTTAACTATGCCAACTGGTTTGTATTAATGTAATTGAGAACTAGGGATATGTAGTGCAGAAGAACAATATCTGACTTGAAGGGCCTTAAGATGGGTTCTGTTTTATTTTCTAATCTTGAGGCCGAGTCTGAAGAGGCTCTAGTTGCTAAAAACTACTTTCCAGATACTTTCATTAATTCTGTTTTTTGCTTACTTATTGCATATTCTTAATGAGTATGTGCTTAATCAAATTACCAAACAGTTAATGTTTGGTAATTTATGTCTATGTGTGTCTATGTAGTATTGCTGTGTGGAAAATCTACACACTGCACAGGAATTTGGGTTATATATATAAGAATATATATATATAAGAATAGGGCAGCAGCAGTTTAATCCATCCACAATGCACACTATACAGAATACACAGGATCAGGTTGGGTTTTTTTATGTAGTGAGAAAATGATCACCTGTGCGGAGTGTTGTGGACTGACCATCCATCAGTAACAACAACCCTGACTCTCAGAACTACTGTAATCAATGCGTCTCCAAATGATCTGGGCAAAGATCATCTGGGTGTGTTTAGTCTGGGTGTGTTGCATGCAGCAGGGTGGCTGGCAGATGTCAGAGCGCATCGATAAGTTCTCAGCGTGTTGTTGCAGCGTCATTCTGTTTGAATGAAGTTCAGACTGAGAACTAGCCAACTCTTCATTCGCGCCCCGGTGGATTGAAACAGGAAAAAATAAAGAGTTGAGGAAGTAAAAGGTTGCCAAATATGCCGGTGTTTACAGGTATGATATCATTTTAACACAGCACATTCATTGCCACGGACAAAGACAATAAGAACTCGAATACTTACACGTGTTTTAGTGCAGTAGCGCAAATTACATTAGCGTGTTAGCTTAGCTAGCTTTAGCGTGATATGCAGTTAGCATGCTAGCGGTGGCAGACAGTCTTTCAGCCCTATTAGGCCACTGGTGAAGTTATTTCAAAAACAGTATTTTACGCAGGAGAACATACGAAATTGTTGCACTGCTGTAACCGTGTTGCGGTTTGTTAGCGGTGTTAAGAGGATGTGTAGGGTGAAGCCGGCTATGCTAGCTGCCATCTGACTCAAACCAGAAAACAACTAGCTAACTGTCAGCTAGCTAGGTTAGTCATGTAACAGTTAAGTAGTTATTGAGGTTTAAGTAGTTATTTAAAGTCATTGTGTCTAAGCATGGCGTAGCCACTTTGTTTTCTTGTTATTTTAAGCCATTTACGTGTCTAATTTTGAGCATGAAATAACGGAAGCAGGATGAAAATAACGGAATCACGCCTTTACTAGCACAGGCAGCATTGCTAACAAAGCTAGCCAAATCATGAGTGTACAGTTTGTAAGCTTTCTATTGCAGTTGCGCCTTGTTGGAGATCAACAATGCTTAAAGAACATGAGTTTGCTATTATAAAATGACAGCCATCTTTTGTAAGTTTCTAAAAATGGTTAATCAGCCACTTAATCGCACTAAATTAGCATCCAAACAGCTGTTTATTTGTGAGCTTGCATGTTGCGCTTGTAGCACGACAGTGAGTTGGACAGTTCGTAGCTGCACGATTCCTTGAAAGACTTCACTTCACCTTACTAGATGCTGTGTCATACATGGCAACAGTTTGATAAAGTTATTTTATTTTCCAGCATTTACCCTGAGAGACTAACGTATTGGTATGTGCAATTCCACTGTTTCGGTTTCAGTAAATGTGAAATGGGGCAAAGAGAAGTTTGATGCAGTAGAGCTGAACACTGAGGAACCACCCATGGTTTTCAAGGCTCAGCTCTTCGCCCTGACAGGAGTTCAGCCAGACAGACAGAAGGTCATGGTGAAGGGAGGCACTCTGAAGGTACGGATGTAAACAACAATCAAGACTTTGGTTCTGAAGTGATTTGTTAAATACAGTGTTACAGGTTATTCTTTAATAAAAGAATAAGGCAGCATTCATTGTATTTTCTAGCTTTCAACAAATTCCATGAAAAGTCAAAAACTAACAATTATCCTATTAATTAACTGATCCTACTAAAAAGTAAAATTTGTGAAAGCATTATAAATTTCTGTTGTGCAAAAACTATTAAAACACATTAATAAGCCACACCAAAACATGAACTGACATATTCCTTTATAACACTGAACGTGGGCACAGTAGTTTACTTGAGTTGATCCCACATACTGTATTCCATCCTGCTGTCATAATTATTCACTCGAGGACCAAATGTGTTTTAATCCATGGCAAACAAATGCACTATTTACTCAGGTTTGAGTAGCATTGATTAAAAAATATTGTGCCCAGATGTTTTGGTAATTTACTTAGTTTTGTTAAAACAATGAATCTATTCATTTGTGCTCATTAGAAGGAAAAAAAATTGTGTAGGGTAGTCGGATAGTATTGAGAGATGTATTAACACATTGTTGGTTTTGGCCTTTTCATGGGATTTGTTGACATTGAGAGAAGTAAAGTGGCCTAATCCTTAATCTGTTTTCCAGGAGCTAATCTATGTCTTGTCTCCATTCTAGGATGATGAGTGGGGAAACATTAAACTGAAAAATGTGAGTATTTAAGCGCAGTCTGGAAGCATATATTGTACTAAGCAGTTGTTAGTTCGCAGAGCATTTTAACAAATGAATTAGTACATTTTAGTGTATTTCTATTCTCTTTGTAGGGAATGACTCTGCTGATGATGGGCTCAGCAGATGCCCTGCCTGAGGAGCCTGCTGTCCGGCCTATGTTTGTGGAGGACATGACTGAGGAGCAGCTGGCCTCAGCGGTGAGTAAGCCTTGAAATTACCAGTACGCCTAAAACAAATATGGATGGTGATTGTTGCGTTCCGTGCTGACGTGGACTCTTCAAATGTGTTTTCGTCAATGTGGTGTTTACTGAGTAGAGAACATAATAAACTAAATATACAGTATATACCCTTTTGAATGCATCTGTTGCTGAAAATGACATGTAATCACTTGTGCATATGTGTGGTTCAGAGAGAAATGTGGTCATGATAAGCAAGGTGTTTGTTATTGTCATTATTTTTTTTCCATTGATTACAGAAGGTAAGAAACACAAAGTGCAGTATGAATCGCAAACTGCATTGTCACCTGATGCTGTGCTGCTGTTTGGTCTGCGGTCTCATCTCAGTTAGGAAATTAGCAGTTCCTCATTGCAGAGTCATGTTTTAAAGGGAGCAAGACTGGCTGATTTGATTGCCTGTGATGTTGCCAGTGTCTAGGGCTCTTCATTGAAACCCACACAAATGTAATTATTTTATGTGTTAGCAGTTCCTCACGGCAGAATGACTCACTGTAGCTACTCAGCACTAATGGAAACTCAGGGGGTACTGGAAA